AAAAGTACAATAATATTTTATATATTACTGATATATTTAATACATAGCTATTTTTGGTAAACGTTTTTAAAATATACGTACTTGTATAAGTACTTGGAATGAAAAATTAAAAATTTTAAATTTGCATATTCCTTAGGCAGGGATCACACGATTTGTACATTTTGGCCGTCACAGAGTGGTGTCGTGGAGAAATTTTTATCGAGAATGAGTTCAGCTCAGAAAAAATGTCTAAACAATTCCACTCTGTTACTAAATATGAAAGTGTGCAAATCTATAAAAATCGTGTGATTCCTGCTTTATAATAAGCTAACTATTTTACATTAAATTACAGGTAATAATCAAAGTTGTAATCAAGACTATACATAGCAATACAGACAGAGAATTGCCATCAAACATTTTAAGACATTTTTAGTAGTTCGCTGCTAGATCTTGAGATCCTTGTAAATTACATATTCTGTTGTAAATTGTTAGAGTTTGCTTGATGTAAGGACATACCTCGTAATTCTAAGACACTCTAATTTAATTGGCGTTTTTAACAGGGACCGTAATAGTTACAACTTTTATTAAAAAATCGCTCTTTAACAATTATTTTTTGACTTTAATTTAATTACTCCTTAAATAACAGTTTTTTCTGAATTTTATTTTTTAAATCTTAGATATAACTTAGACTTTTAAAACTTTATAAAAGTCATAAATAGAAATCAGTCACTGACTTTAATTTTTTAAATCATACTTATAAAAGTCATTTATATAAGTCATAGTAAAGTTTTGCTTCCCAACAACTTTTTAACTGCGCAAAATGTTAATGACTTTTATACGAATGATTTAAAAAATAAAAGTCGGTGACTGATTTTTATTGATGACTTTTAGAAATAAAAGTCTTCAATAACTGTTATGTAGACATGTAATATAAAAATCAAATATAATTGTTTTTTCTATTTATAAAATAAAAATCAAAAATAATTTTTTCTTTTGCTAATTTTGCATAAAACGAGCAAATAAATTTTTTTTTTCAAGTTTGGTTCTCGGTGAAAAAAGAAATCAATTGCTATGTATCACTTAGTATCACTTAGTAGTTTAGCATTTCCTTCATAGCGAATTTTTATATATAGTGCTGGGTTTGAGAGGATAGTGTGTTTTCGAATGCAATTTGATATCTAATTTTTTTAGATATGTACTTGCTTGAAGAAAACGCAGTTAACAAAATCATTTCTAACCATTTATGATCACAAAAAATATTTATCCGATGATAGCTAAAAGTAAAGTGAAAATTGTGAGTTTTAAAGTTTTAAACTACATATGGATATTTTTCAATTATTTTAACATTTAAGAAAATATTTTAATTGCTAATAACAATCTTAACAGGTTCTGTGGAATTTAATGACACTTCGTGTCTTTTCCGTTACTCCTCTCAAAACTAATAAAGCAAACCTTATTTTTAGAAACTAAGTTTTCCTTAACTACAGGCATGCAATAATATACATACATATGCACTGTTTACTTCAATGAATTTTCCACTCAACAACCAGTTAAGTTGACTGTTTTTGTTATTTTCGCAAATGTCGCAAAACTTTTGCAAATTGCTGTCATTAAATTTTAATAAAAGTCTGTTTAACTTTATATAATAAACTCATCGCCTATTACTACTAACGCAGTACAAGTACATGAGCACAAATATTTTTAGTTTATCCAAGCATAATCTTTTACATGCCTTGCCCTCGTAACCCTGCTCGGTGCGCTTAAAATGCTTAAATTGCACTGTTCTTAGTGTGTTTTGTTGTCTGCCAAAACTTATCAAAGTTCAACACAACTTCTATTAACTTATATTGCACATACATATATGCACTGTGTACTAAGTACATAAGTATGTTAGTGGGTAGTTAACGGAAGTTTATAGACGACAGATTGTTTGCCCAACTAAAACAAACAAAATTTTGTAACCGTTCAACAAGTTATGCCACTTTGCAGTTAAAACTCTTTCAATTTGGGTTACACTTTGATCTTGCCGGAGGATATTAAAATAGAAAAACAAAAATTTGAATTGTTTCTAAAAAAAAAAATTTCTCTTACCAGACGAAGAAAATAAACCCCATTTAAAAAAGGAATTGGTTATTTTTTTGTAATTTTGTTTACTTTTTAGCGGACGCCGCACAGTGGTGCAAAAAAGGTTGATGTGGAAAAATCAATTTTGAGAGCCGAAATATGAACCGATTTCAAGTTTCTTTTTTAATAAAAAATAATTAAGTTTCACATTAGAATAAGGAATATTGTGTAAGAATCTTCCACACGAATATTTAATTACTTTTAAAAAATATGACTTTTAAGTTAAGGCGTGGGAGTAAAGGTGTAAGTTGACTGCGTTTGGTGCTACGTAGCGTATACGTTACATACACAACTAGGGTTATTTTTTTGTAATTTTGTTTACTTTTTAGCGGACGCCGCACAG